ATGAAATGACTGACCTCAATCAAGTGCCTTTCGATAAATATCTCGTAGTCGTAGTAGTAGTTGGATGGAAGTGAATGCACAAGTCGAGTGTCTAGGCTAGTACAATAGTCGTGTGGCTAGTCAATCTGGACAGGATGGCCAGAGATCAGATAATGGGGGCTGACTCACCGGCAGATTGACTGACTAACTGTCTTGAGTGAGGGGTTAGAAGTTTACACGAGAATGAATTATTTTAAGTTGACACATGTCACGAATGCACGCCTAGACGGAAGAGAAAAGCAATGTGATGTGATTGAATGAAACTACAATGGCGAAAAAGAATAGACAACTGAACGAATGAATAACTAAATAAATAAGTGTAGATTGGTGGATGAAGATGATGAGTGAATATTGCATCAGCGGCGTTGACAAGGCTTTTGACCTGTGTCGGCAAAAGTCTGCAATCATTGATTCTGAACAACGTTTCTGTAATCCTCAGTGAAGTACGTGTAGAGTTACATCTGGCGCTCTGATTTGAGGATAAGGGTGCGCTCACTAGGTTGGATTTGAAGCGTTCTACTTCGAGAGTGGATGACGCGAATAGGTTGGTCGCTTGACGATACAGGCTGTGAATTGAATATCTGGATGTATATGATTAGTACAGTGAGGTGGATGGCAAAATTTAAGGCATCGAGATAGTACGTCGAGGTGTGTCGTATCTAATTGAATGCTTTTTTATTTTTGATTTAAGCTTGATTCCACACTGTATTTTTGGTACAAGTATGGAATTTTCAGCATTTGATATCGGTAGCCCAAATTTTGCAGGTCGACCATAGATATCAGGTGTGCATTGGCAGGGAATCGAACCTCGGACCATGTGAATGGTCGGCAAGAGTCCTAACCACTGTGCCACCGACGCACATATCTAATTGAATGCTAGACACTGTTGAACATAGATTTAAGGGGCTGTTGTTGACTGTTTGCTTTTGTCGTACTTTGATAAACTCTTCACCTCATCGATTTATTTCTGGTAATTGATCCGCTTCGGAAAGACAACCGATGCAATGGAGAGTGTCGAAAGAGTCTCAACTAACTCGTTGATGTGTCTATGAAACCTATCGTGTGAGGAGAATCAACAGTGGCTGAATTTATCTTCAGTTTTATACAGTATGAATGTTAGAATATGTCGAAAGCTAACTGCCTTCGTGATACAGTCGTGAATGGATTTCCCAGGTCAGACAACCTAAATTGGTGTCTAATGGAAGTGAGTGACTTTGGAATTGTGATATCCCGTCTACGTTATTTCTTTGTCGAGTTATATTGTTGACGGTTATAAACTGTGAGTTATTGAATTGATTTGGATATTGGCACACTGATTGAAATATACAACGAGGGAACACCTTGTGTGACAGGCGTGCATTCATCCTGTACTCTTCGATTTCAGAGATGACAATCTACAGTTGATTCACTCGGTCTTCTTCCCTACATATAATCGACTGTCTACTTCATGTTGACTTACTGTGCGAATTGAGGTGGGCCGACGGACTAAATTCGGCTGTGTAAATTAGCTCATTAAGTTATTTCGGGATTTCAATTCTTTTTTTCTGACTTTTATATTCTTTAATTTCCTGTTAAAAAATTTATAGGTATTTCGAGTTTCCCGGTTTTGTTTTCCTATCGGCGCGTTATCTTTTTGAGTTTGTTTTCCTATTTTAGGTTGCTTATTTATTTCTTTTGGAATTTTGTTCGGTTACGTAGGTTTCATGCTGTAATCACTTAAATATCGTCGATGAGATCTTTCAGTAGGTAGAGGAGTCATATTTTTGTGTTGAAATTTGCACAGCAGTGTTTTTGTTATATGTAGTGCAACTTGATGATTGTAATAGCTGAGACACTTTCTCTCGAATAATATTAACTTTTTACTGGTCGTGTTGTGTTAAATTCCATTCGACAGTGCTGAATTACCTGTGAAATTGTTTCACTGATTTTGTTTTCATTACCTTTGTACTCTAAATCTACGATAGTTTTGCCTAATAACAAACTGATTCCGCAGACACCGGAATAAAAACCTTGTCACATCATTTCTAAGGTACATGACTGGTTGGGGGGTCTCTTCACTTGAAAATTCTTTATAAGGTTTTATTCGGTTGTATTAACTTACGCTAGGCTTGAATTTGCCTTTTTTGTCGCAGTTTAAATGGCTTTTTATGCATTGGTAAGTATGCCTTTTCGTTAGTCTTTGAAGACCATCTTGTTTAGTGAAATTCACAATTTTCAAATTAATTAGCAATATGCAAAATTCGAGGTGAAATTTCATCAAAGTTTCCTTTGGAAACCAAAATCATTCAGATCACGATAAGTAATCAGCAAGGCAAGCAAAAATGTGTAAAACTATATACTAGAGATTTGTCAAGACAGGTAGTCATACACCACTCAAATCTACCAGTACTGTTCTCATTCTTTTGAGTTTCGGTGGTAGAGAATAACAGTGTGGCTGTTCAAACCGCATGTCCTAAGAATCTATTGAAATTCTATCATTCTCAGAGAAAACTTCACCTGTCGTACATCTTTTAAGACCTGTTGTTCTAGTGGACCTAAATAGTTGACGGGTAACACCCACAACCAATACACTTCTGCTTTTGATGCCCACCACTGTTCGCAATCGTTGTGATGACTTTCAGCTATACTATGTATGTTATGTTAGTCTTCTTGTATCAGTAAGGATTAGTCTACGGAAGCGCACTAGCATTCACTAAAGTTTGGTTGGAGGTTATCAACACCCTCAAAGACTGCTTCTATATGAGATTCATTGTGGCATCAGGACTCCTCAAAATGAGCATCATTATAATATCTAGATGTATTCAGTTATCTCATTAAAGACCCTATCCTTTTTGCCGGGACAATACCTCTGCAACTCCTTATTTCTGAATTTCTCTTAGGCATGCCCATATACGGATTACTTTATAGTTGAAATACACGCACGTATTTCAGTGACAATTTTCAACCAGTTCTCTCCATGGATAGCTTAAAACAAGTTGATATATTTTTATCCATTGTTTGAATTCAGCGGTTGTCAGAAGAGATAATGTCCCTCCCTATGTTATCTGAATAGTGTTGTAGGAAACTATCACCGTTGTCCATTCTGAAAATATCGTCGAAACGCTTTTGTCTTTGTCTAAACTTTTCTATTTGAATATTAAAATCATATGTTTTACTTTCAGCAGTGAACTAAACAGCTTAAATCAGATTGTATTTACTGAATGCATAAGGCTAGATTACAAAACGTATCAAAGACTATTATTTTTCCGTATTCCTTCCAGGGGAGGGTATACATGCTTTACCGAAATGAACTCAGACATTCATTAATTAAGATACAAAGATGCTACTGGATTTCTTACAGCCAACTAAATTATCTACAGAGAACTTTGAGGGGGTTTTACCAAGTAAAGTTATTCTAATGAATCTCATGCCATACAGTAAAAGTATCTCTAAGCTTGTACTATGTCAGTTCATATTTATCTCAGGCCTATTGAGTAAGAAGCCGATAATATTTCAACTATTGTACTCTTTTTATTAAGTGCCCAACTTTCAGCCAATGGGTTCCCAGTTCGAACTACTATCTACCTACTTCAACCTGGGCTACTGGATTGTATCATAAGTCTTATGATGTAGTTGTGTTCTCTGTGCTGGATGGTTTTTTGGACGTCTTAGTCAAGCGAACAACCACAAGAAAATTAGTAACTCAACCCACACAGATCAAATAGTCGGTTCTAACAGCAACAATCCAATAACACACAAAAGTTGTATACAAACGTTATGCAAGAGGGCCACACTACGTTGGCCAAAGTGGATGTCCCTTTCGTCTTCGTATCTATGAACATAAACTAGCCATCAAATGACATGACATCCACTCCCTCATATCGCTGCATACAGACAACCAAGGACATCAATTCAACTGGGACAACGTTCAAATATTAAATTCTAAGAAACCTGGTATTCCAGTGAATCGTCAATCAATAGGCACATCAACATAGCAAAACATACCAATTGATAAGAAGGAAATCGCACACATAAAGGGTCAAACTTCAGGTCAAGGAAACAATCAGTATCAATACTAGTAGCCTAGAGGATGTGAAACACACACAAAAACAACCAACCACGTTCAAGGTCCACAGGAGATATGACTAATAAACTCATGGAGAAATCTAAACGCTCACTTTAAATTAAAGTATGCGCTGAAGATTTTACCTAATAGTACAATGAAAGCTTCGTAAATGAACCATCCAGCTCAGAGAACACAACTACATCAAAGCCATCCACCTGAGCTACAAATCTTCTCCATCATATCTAGTATCACAAGTCCTCACATAAGAAATGTGACCTTGAGGCTGGTACATGAAAATACGTTTCGAGTATCTAAGCTTCACTCACTGGTCACATCGTATCCTCTGAAAAATGTCTTCCGTACTTCAGTGGCATTAACGTAAACACATATCGGTAACACTTAGCTGCTATGAAACCACAGAAGAATGTAACTGATATCAAATATATCAATTTTTGCAATAACTCACATAAGTAATCCACCTTCCCGTGATTTATATTAAATTCAAAAGACTTTATGAACATTCTGTACAACTGCTCATATAATTTTACATAAGTTCAGGAATATGTAGGCATGTGTTGGTGGAAGAAATAACAGTCGATACCGACATCTATACAGAAAATCCCGTTTACACAAACGTAGACATTTTCAAGTAATTAACCATTCGAAAACTCTCTGTACACATCCGAAAGATTAAGTTACTTTAGTTGATAAATAAAAGACTCAAGAAAGTTTCATATGAAAAACATATGTCAGTTTGTAAACCTTTTAATAGACGAATGACCTTAAACAAACAAACTTTCTTGTGTACGTGTACGGTGCCTAACAGTCACGAGCATTTAGCTGAATGTATATAAAACTAAATAAAATATCAGCAGAAGGATTTTTCAGCATTGAGAAGTAATTGCAAGTTTATTATTCACATGAAATCATCTGAGTCGTAGCCATCTTCGTTCGTTCTCATCTTGCTCTCAACAAATAATCGGTCGTAAGACCGTTTTTGTGCTTCAGCTAAGCGTGCTTTTTGAGCTTCCTCTTCAGCTTTTTTACGCGCAGCCAGGGCAGCTTTCTCTTTGTTTCTCATACGATTATCTCGTTCTTCCCGCTCGCCACGTAAGTCAAGCTGTTGACGTTGCTCTTTTGTCTTGTTGAGTCGTTTGATAATATCTCCGATTCGTTTTTCAACTACAATTTTTCGAACTGCTTTATTGTTGTGGAAACCAACTTGGCCAACATCCATATCGTTAGTTTTTTTCAAGTTCTCCCATTTTGTGTACACTACAGTAACATCATTAAGTTTGCTTCCCTGTAAACAAATGTGAAACAGACAATTTAGATAAAAATTCTAGTAATAAATGCTATACATTATGAAAGCGCCTGTATCCAAGGTAAGGTAATGATAACCGGCTTGAAGTTTCTGTAGCATTGTTTATTTTCACAGCATGTGGTCGCTAGCCTCATACCCAACCTTTCCTCTTTACCAGCTTTTTAATACTGGCTTAGTGAGGTAAAGGAGTGCGTTGGCAGGGGATAGAACCCCGGACCATGCGTTTGGTCGGCGAGCGTCCTAACCGCTGTGCCACCGACAACTGATTAGTATTGTCTACATATATTTTATCATGCCCACGCAGTCCCAATTCCCACCCATTTATATTCTTTGATGAATAATATTATTATTTGGGGCAGTTTACCATCCAATAAATAAACAAGATAGAAGCTAATGATTTCAGACTTGGTGATATGACGAGAAACCATTCTCAGTTGTGCAGCTTCGTTTATTTAGTCTAACATGGTGGTGCCGTTAATGGACCAGATGGGCGCGTGATCGTTTTTCTACACAGAACTGCAAATTTCATTTGTCATATCCATGCCGGAATTCGCACAAATACTGAGTAGTACAATCTTCCATAGTTCCTTCAACAGTTCACTTGTGAGAGTAACTGCGTACACCTCCCATTGATTTCACACCAGTACTTTACATTTAAAGTGTGCAAACATCATACATATATATTGAACTCTAGTTGAATAAGTGCACTTAGAGTAATCTGTGCTGTCTCAAAACAGGTGATATCAGCATATGCAACATCCCATGTAGCATAGACTAAGCAGAACTCGGGAGGAACAAATGAGGGAAAATCAAGCAGGCTTTAGACCAGGTAGATGGTGCATAGATCATATCTCCACTCTTCGACAGATTCTAGAACATAGACACACTTTTCGGTGTTCAACAATTGCCATATTTCTTGACTTGAAGGCGGCCTTCGACTCTGTGGATCGAAAGGTACTATGGCAATGTTTGACTGTGAAGGGAGCGCCAAGAAATTACATTGCACTAATCAACGCACTCCATTCAAACTCACGTAGTCGTGTAAGGGCTTATGGGGAATTGTCATCTGAATTGATAACAACCAGTGGTGTCCGATAGGGATGTCCACTTTCCCCATTTCTGTTTAACTTCATCATAGATATCCTGATGGAAGTATCCTTAACTGAAAGTAATGACTTAGGAATCGACTTGTTACCAGGGAATAGTCTTATGGACTTAGAATATGCAGATAACATAGTCCTGTTAGGGGAGGATGCTGACAGAATCCAGCAGAGTCTTCTGAACACCTTGAGCAGCAATCTTCGTATGTTTGGCATGCGATTCGCCCCTGTAAAATGTAAGATGCTGCTAGAGGACTGGACTACGTCAACTCCTAGCTTAGTGATAGGGAGTGAAGTGATAGAACATGTTGACCACTTCACCTATTTGGGAAGTTGCATCAGCACCAACGGACTGATTGGCGACGAAATCTCACCACGAATCCAAAAAGCTCGAGGTGCTTTTGCTGACTTACACCACCTCTGACGTAGGCGTGACATCCGGCTTTCAACCAAGGAACGTGTGTACTGCTCAGCACTTCGCTCCGTCCTTCTCTATGGCTCTGAAACATGGCCAATACGAGTTGAAGACATGAAAAGGTTGACTGTTTTTGATCATAGATGTCTGCGATCTCTTTCTCACGTTAATTGGTATAATAAGGTAAGTAATGCTGACGTTAGGCGTAGAGTATTGGACAAACAGGGAAAATCAATCGACGAGGCTATAAAGTTGCATAGATTGAGTTGGCTAGGTCACGTGCTGCGCATGCCTAACCATCACCTCGCCCGACGGGCATTACTAGCTGGTATAGGTGCAGGTTGGAAAAGAGTAAGTGGTAGCCAAACAAAAACATGGCCTCATCAATCCATGAAATCCTTGACAGTTAAATTGAGTCAGGTAGGAAGATGCAGACTTCCGGGTTGGGGCCCTCGGGACTCTAGGAATCAATGGCTGGAGACAATAGGTGACATGGCTCAAAACCGTTGTCAATGACAGCGCAGATGTATTTAGTCTCTGTAATCTTTCATATTCCTTTCTACCATTACCCATTGTTTCACTCTCGTACTTGTCAAACTCTATTGATTCTCTTCACTTATCTTTTTGTCTACCTTTGTGTGCTATTTGGAACGTGGCAACTCAGACTGCTGCACTTCGGTGCCATGGTTCTATGTTGAATCCAGACAGACAGACATTCTTTAGGCAGCGTATCTAAACCACCACTACCCACGCTTTTCATGGCTGCCTCTACAATCTCGTTAATGACAAAGTGGAAATGAAATGGCGAAATTGATCAGCCATTATTGACATCATCGTCAATTGAAGACAACAATGACATATGATAATATGCTTTTCCTCTATCTGAGCTGTCTACCTATAAGGCCTTCAAAATGTCCATAAACTGTTTTAGGGCCAACCTTCTGTGACGGATAATTCAAATGAGTAGTCCAGTTAGGCAGTTCAAAATCAATAAACACAGTTACCATTGGCTTGCAGTACGTGCAACCGTTTTTCAGTAAATCGAGGGAGTGGGGGGGGGGGAGTAAATACGCACTTCACATAACCGAAACTATATCACATGTCGATTTCTCATTAGAAATACCAAGTTCTGTGAAGCAGAACAGTACCCAGTGTTTTTGATGCAACTGGTAACAGACTAGTAACTCAACGAATCTAGTATTTATTTGGAAGGCTTTTCTAAAAAGCATGTATAATTATGACCTCACTTTAGTTAGTGAGACACTGCCCTTCATATCTCTCTCATAAAGCTATTAAGCTGACTACAGTTCATACCCCGTAATAAGATTAAGTGTATCTACAAAACTCAATATGATGCCTCCTAACAGACCGTATATGACCAGCTTCAAGCGGTTGTCGCCTGAACACTGCGGTCCAACACTAATAAATTTTTTTCTACACAAAATATGGAGTGAAATCTTCGAATATGTCGATCGTTTTACTTTGGAAGTTGCACCAGCCTGAGCAGACTGATTACTGTCAGTCTCAGCATCGATACAAAAGGCTCGTTTAGCGTTCGACAAATCATCTTTGGAACAGGCGCGATATCCCGCTATCAAACATAGGAGGTGTGTCCGGTGCAGCATTACCCTTCCACCAAGTTCTCGCCTGAAAATTGGCTTTAGAATATGTAAAGATTATCCCTGTAAAATCAAAGGTGCTTGTCTTTAAACTTTAGTGTCAGGCAAACAGTAATAATGAGGTGGGGAGAGAAAGTCACTAGGTGATACTTGGAAGCTGCATCGAATGAGATGGATAGAACCTGAAATACCCATCACAAGCCATCGTCTTTCACAACGAAAAACGATAAATAGGGAATTACAGTAAAGGGTAGTAAAACGAAAACATAGTGCCAATTAGTGGTCTCTGACTGCTATGCAGGACCACGTAGAGGGGTGTAGAATAATCAACAAAGATCACAAGGATGCACAGAACCAATAAATACAGATTGCCAGTTAGGCAGTTCGAAATAGTTCTCAATGGCCACAACGGCCTACTCCGTGGCTTCAGCCAGATTCTAACTCAAAGATATACTTCGTATATATATATATAACCCTGATTTTTAGGACTTACAGTTTCAATGGTAACTATTTTTTCATGCTATTCATCAGGTTATATTTTTAGATTACGCAAGACAACCCAATCTAATTTCGCAATTTATCAACTTTTTTCTGATATATAATTTCATGTTTTTTTCCGACTTCCTATAGTCGAACTCTATTAACATTTCCCACGACTTTTCAAAAACATTTAACTGTAGAATCTGATAAGTCGTTACAAAAAGAATGTTTATCTTTGAGTGTTCATTAAGCTACAATTGATTACTCCCCTTGATCACTAACTTACAATCATTTTTATTTATTTCAATATGAGCTTTTTCTACGAGTAGGGAATCGAGTGAGATACTTCATGTGAAGTTCCACATCCTTAGCTAGTAAGTACGAATAAATGCACTCACTCAAAAAGATTCTCACAGGATAGGTTTGACAGACATACCAGTAAGTCCTGATTGTTTGAACGCTATTTACTGCACTGATCATTTTTCGGAAGCATGCTAGTTAACAAAGTTGATGAGAGGAAAATTTTATCAAAGCATGACAAAAGCAAACCATCAACAAAAAACTTCCAATATGTCACACAAGAACATCTGTTAATCTGGTATTGAACGAGGTGTAACAGCTCAATGTACCGGCTCCATGCCTTTAATTTCGTGACCAACGTCAATGCACTAAGCATAAGCATTCAGATATTTGATTTGAAATTCATCTTGTTAGAAGTTCGATCTGGTTTGCCAACTACATATTTACTCAGGAGAGGCAGAATTTTGTACCCACAGTAGTGGTCTTACAGTTACCAGGTTTGGTTGTTTTTCACTTATCCTTTACTGACTGAGGCATTAATGAATATTCGACCAGAGGGAGCCTGTTTTAATCCCTGTAGGACACAAATTTTAGGAATCCGCCTCCATACTGAAAGCGTCCAAACAAGTATCTAACGCTACTAAGTGCAGTCCAGTCGTTGACCACCCGATGCAAGAATCTGACCTCTACTCGTGCCTGCTCCATCTACGTGGTAGTCGAATCCTTACTAACCCCAGTCATCTGAGACAAAATTAGCATGTGCCAGTACATGACCCATACCTACTAAGTGGGGAATGATGGGACTACCAAGCTGCCCACTCTACAGTAAGTGGGAGAGTGAAACCTTGACTCATTAGCTAAAAGCCGTGTTTAAATCGAAAAGCCATATCCCCACTCGCCACTCAAGCACATGGCGTCCTCATTTTCTTGAAAAGCATTAAATAGATGAAATTTCAGTAAACATATTCCCTAAAATGGCCAACAGCGGTTACTCAGTTTGCTTTTAACTTAATTGCACAAAATGTGTTGACCATTCTGTACATAAGGATATCACTAAGTTAAAAAAAAGACTCACCTGAATACTGTTTTCCTTGACTAATTGAGCGCAGTCTTGTATAACTGCGTCAGGAACATCGTCGAGTGATTCCCCTTCTTTGAGTCGTAAATAAACATGGGCAGATGACAAGGCATCCACGTGAAACCAGATGTCTTCAGGCCATCCCCAACGTATGAGCTCGTCGTTTTCATGCTTATCTTCGCCCATATATATAATGTAAGGAGGATGAACAAGTTCACATTTAAAAAAGAGAACCATCCCCAGACACGTCTGAAAACAAACCAACTGTAGCGAATAGTTCGTAAAAGTGCTGCCTTAGTAATGCTTCCAATATCCAATATCGTTTTAACGAGCTTGTTTAAACCAATTTGATTTCTTTATGCTCGCTTCTTGATTGTGAGGTATAGGTTCCTGATCTTCGGTAAACTTCTGCGTAGCTTGTCCCGCCACTCGACTGTCGTAGCTTTGGTTGACTCCAAAGGGAGTAGTGCTGGGATTAATTAAATGTGGTTTGTAGTATGAGGTATGTTAAGACTGTTACTACTATGATTGGGGTTGATCCTTTCGCCGGTTAGTCCTTCGGTATCGTCGACAAGAGAAAAGAGATAGTAATAATAATAATAGATATAATTAGTGAAACTATTCAGACTAAGAGACAGAAACGAAAATAGGAAACGTAACAACAGTCAGCTCATTAAGTTTGAAGAATAATATATATATATATATCGGTAATAGTAATAATAATAATAGTAATTATAATATTAATAAGTTGTCAGGAGAGTAAGACGGGAGAGAATGTAAAGAAGTAAAACGACGAGTTTAATTATCTACCCCTGATTGGTATATGCGATTTTAAGGAGATAGGCCATTTGGATGCAGTCCTTGTATCGCTGCATGGTTGTCCAGCCTTTGCTTAAATGCGTCCAAAGACGGTACCATAGCTACATCTGCCCGCAAGGAATTCCAAGGACGGCAAACCCGCAGTGAAAAGAAGTGGGAGCTCACCCGGGTCCTTGCCCTCTGGTGAGCTATCCTTCTGGGATTTCCACGCGGGAGCCTATACCTACTCAATGGCAGAACACCTTTGTTTGGGTGACGCTCGAGATCACCTAATTCACCAAGACACTGCCAACAATGTCGTAGGAGTTTGAATCCCCACTGCTGTGATGCGCGTAGTTTTGGTCAAAGTGTAAGAAAGATAATTAATTCGACTTAGATTATGCTGTAACAAAGCAATAGACATTTTTGAGTGGGTAAACACACGCTTACATCGCCATATTTCTGACATCTAGGCTGGAAGTATAGTTTTGGCATTTTGAAAAAATTTGGCTACTGGTTATACGATATTCATCATAATAAAGGTTTTTGTATTTCCCAATGAGTGAAAAATAGAATACTTTGGTAAAGCAATTAGCATTAAACAGCGAAACGTCAGTAAAAACATCTCTGTTTTGTTTTTCATTCATTGGGAAATACAAAAGCCTTTATTATGATGGAAGTATAGTTGTTTATAATATTCGGACAAAGATTCTCGACACGTCTCAATATGTATATGCTAAACAGCCCTGAAGAGTTTTCTCTTACGGCGTCATCACGTTACATAACTAAGAAGGGCACTGAGCTTAATGTTAGACGAAATTACAAAGTGACACTTGCTACCTCTCCGTTATCTCAAGATGAGATGTGGGGAGGTGTCGTTGAAAACAGAGGTGCCTGCGATCTGATAAAACCCGATGAATTAGCTATTTGCGAAACCTCATATGCCAGTAAAAACGTTTGCATGCAATATGCTTGGTGCAAAGCCTGAAACAATCACAGACAAAAACTTTCCGCTCTGTCCAGTCTAAGTTTATTATAAAGGTGCACTGCTCACGAAAAAGTCAAGCATTTAGCAATTAATTTGTTCACATTGATTATTCATTTGGATGATTGACTTGCTGTTTGTACAGGCAATTACAAACTTGGATTGGACACTGTTTTACGACATGGATATTGAAAAGAGGAAAGACACGGGAAACTATATAAGTAGTTTGTAATTTTTACTTTTAATCGAATAAGTTAAAAGACATTGTTTTAAGTCTAATTTTCGGTCGCTAATGCATCTATAGTCTGTCATTTTCACGCGGGAGCTACAAATGGTTGCTATTCTAATTTTATTTTTATTATAGCTTGATTCCACACCGTATTTTGGTACAACCGTTGAATTTTCGGCATGCGATATCGGTAGCTCAAATTTAGCAGGACGACCATTGGTATAAGGTGTGCGTCGGCCGGGGATTGAATCCCAGGCCATGTGCATGGTTGGCAAGCGTTCTAACTGCTGTACCACTGACGCACAGATACGATGTACAGGTGCTAGAGTAAGACAGAGTGCAGAACTCACAATCATTATCAGTTAATTACTTATAAAGTGTTTGAAAATGTATTAAGTTCTACAGTATATTTTCATATAGCTGATTTTTTGGACCGACTTTCTGATGACAAGGATATTTCACGATGGAGGTTGTTCCGTTGTTCATCACATCTACCAACATTATTCTGAATAACTGCCAAATGCAGGTTCTTGTGATTCCAAGACTCCGTTCAGTTGATACAAATGTAGAAAGCAGCACAGCTGTTTATATGCAGGACTCTAATGTAGTATATGTGAAAAGAGAAAACAGTAAGAGAGGTGCAGAGGCAGCCAGCTAATGTTAATAATTTTCCGAAAATTGGCCGTTAATGGAATGATAGGCTGTGGGAAAAAAGTGGAGTGTGAGAAATAAAGAAGAACACCGCTACCTACCCATTTGCCTTTTACGTCAACTAAAATTTTTAATATGAAATTTGTAACAGGGATATAACTAGGTCACAAATCAGAGGAATTATCCTAGAATTCGTAGATGGAACGGCAAGCCTTTTAACCTCTGCTGAAGACGGATTCAGTGTCACCTTTCATTCAGATTACTTATTCTCCCTATTTGATGCTGCACACTGAAAATGCGAGTCTAGAAATAATAACCAGAAAAGCTGTCTGCCGCAAAATCGTTAACTGAACAGTTAAATATTTAGTCGATTCAGTCTCAGTAAGTGAATAACCAGACTTTCTTAATGTCCGTCTATGAGCCGGAGGAGAAGAAAGTCTAAGAATGAGCTTGGAGACCACCTTCCATGGAGAACAGTAACATAACTGACGAAACTTCAAAGTATAGAAAAACACGCTTATTCGCCACTTTGATCAGAAAGATTTTTCATTTCACAGGCGGATGACTGCAACTGGTCAGAGACATCCGGACACGAATTCTTTCGATATAGGCGGCAGTAAGCATGAGATTAGGGGGTGTCCACCCCCATTTTGAAGGTTGGAAAGAATGCCTAGATTGCGGGAGAAATGAGGAGGTTTAACACTGAGCATGAGCAGATAGAATAGGAGTCGATACTTCGGTGGTCAAATTAATAGTCGGAAACCTGCTCTCACGGCTTAGATGATAAGGAGGAGGGCAACGAGGGCGTGGTATCGTAACATTACTAACAGCGCTGGAGGCCCACATGAAAATGGGAAAGCATCACCCCGTGATCACGGTAGCACAATTCAAACTGAAGTGAGTGAAATTATCAGTCATAATTACCCAAAGCTGATCACCCACAAACAATCCAAACAGAGAGTACGAGAGTTGCTGGAGATGACCCCGAGACCCAAGTCATACGACGAGATCAAAATTATAATGGGCTTTTCGGGTGTCGAGCTGTGAGCAGGTGACAGGACGAGAGATGATGATGAGTTGAAAGTTGATGAGAACGAGGAATGTTTCGCAGACTTATACCGTCGCAGTGATTTGTACATTGTAGGCAGAGTGTACTGGTGGTTGAACATAAACCTGGCAAAGTGGACTTCACCAGAAGGACGCATCGAAAGTCAGGTAGTTTTAGCTCATTCGCAAGCGTGACCAAGCTCAATCTGCCGGATTAATGAGTGAGAATCAAAGTAAATGTCGGGATACTCATCTAACGCAGATACTCTCTAAGATGAGTTCGAAAACCCTCAAGAAGCCTAAAAATGGTCGACAGCTCAAGTTCAACACTTAAAACACATAGGATGAAACAAAAGAGTACACCCTTACTGCAGTCACATACAACAGATTTGGCACTTCCCAATCAGCGAAAAATCCAGAGATATTGTTTTATTGACGTTTTTGAAATGTCAAGATCAGAAAGCGTAAATGTGGTAGCCTCAGAGATTCCAAACCAACAGATCCTGACTCTGGTGCTCTTCTAATCCGAGAGCTTGACAGTTCTGAATCGTTTCTCCGTGCCATCGTTGACTGCCGAGAACGTGGAGATCCGTTCTAATAAACAAACTATAAGTCGCTCGTTCAACGACCACCAGGACTGACAAGTTTATCGAAGAATAATTGAAGCAGAATTAGCAAAATCCTGTTTTAAATGAAGTTCATTTTCGGGTTATTAAGTCAGTCGAGACTACATTCGACTAAAAAGAAATCCATTTGGACTATAAAAACCTGAGAAATCGGCAATTCCAGGTCTACATGCTATAGAATCTGGCAGCAAACTTGATTTCGACAACAGCGAAATTGTTCAGAAAAACCTTTGGTATCACAAAAAATAACATAATAGAAGCACTTCACATTAAATGGAATCCAAACTGACCGAATAGGAATAATTTTATAAGACAGAAGTGTGTCTGGCTACAATAAATCCCCGTTAATGAAGTGATAAAATCAGTACAAACGTCGTAAGCGATTTGAATTATGTAAATACATGCTGTTTCTATAATTTCATGCATTTACGGAGTTCAACAATCCAACAATAAGTTGATTGACCCGGCTACGTCAAAATTATCTCATCTTGAAGGACGACCGTTAAGTTACTGCACATACGCTGATTTTGAAAATTCTAGTTTTATAATACTCCGATAAAGATGTTGTAAGGCGAGGCATCAGCATAAACAACTTTTTTCTCTTTTTCACTCGTTAGGAAATACAAAGCATCTATAATAATGAGCAATTAGAACAGTCCACACGACAGAATGTCAAATAACCACGTGGGTATCAGTGGAAATGTCAACGCATATGAAACCAGTGGAAGATAATAAAAGAGACCCTATTACCAACCAAATCATGAGATCACTAATGTCATCAGTTACTGTCAGTGATAGTGAACATTGACTGGACGTTCACTGGAATAGTTTACTCGAACTAGTATCCTGTTCGTTAGGGGCAACAATCCAAGATGTGGCTTTTACGTCTTCTCGTTGACAGAAGAAAGCAACAGCACGATCAGAAGTAATAATGTATTCTTTACTGACGTAGTTTGTGGAATTTTCGGCTCAACCATAGTAATCAACTGCCAATCACACGATCAAGTTGGTGTGTAATTTACTTGATGTACTGGTTTACACTTTCGAAGTGGGAGACTTAAGCTCATATGAGAACTATCCCGGAATTATGCAGCTCCCTGTCTCAATAAACGTAAAGTCGCACCATTCCGGAGCGATTGAATGAGACCTTAACTTAAAGAAATCGCCCAGAACAGACAGATTGTGAGTTAAACAGGTCATGCACGGAGCAAATCGAAATATGACATATCGACAGCGAACAGTGTTTCAGCTGTCAAACACGGTTTCACTACAGTCGACCAATGAGCAATTCGGCTAATGACTCAGCACTGTAGAATACCACAATTACACACAAACATCATCTAGAAGTCATGCGATGAGGCCACATGTCAAGAGATTCACAACGAAAGGCTGAATGAAGCCTTTGAAGAAGGATTTAAGGCAAACCTACCTGCCATCACAGATGATGTTTCTTAATGAGATATATTTTTACATTTTTGATTACAGCTTGATTCCACACAGTTTTTTTGATACAAGTATGGAATTTTCAGCATGATATCGGTAGCCCAAATTTTGCAGGCCGACCATAGATATCAGGAGTGCGTCGGCAGGGGATCGAACCTCAGACCATGTGCATGATCGGCAAGCGTTCTAACCACTGATCATTCATCAAAGCATGCAAAGTATGGCAAGTGGCATAAGTCTCTTGTTAGCTTGGTGACAGCTGTTCTGAGACGGAATATGCAGTTTCATGGAGACAAAATGAATCATATAGATAGGTTTCTAATGATTAAGAACGTACAAATTTGTGTGATTGCCGTAATGGGTACTTACGAAGGAAGAAATCTACAACATAATATAGATGTACAAGCTTACACATTAGAGGACATAGCAGGAGGGTTCAAAAGCCAAGAAGAAATCATATAGCTGTTGAGTACGAAAATAGATACAGGCAGTTTTTATTGGCTGTTGGCTAGCTGGCTTCCTATTGGTCTAAAATATAAATTAAAGTGCCAATCTCTTTATTTTGACACGGAAATTTACAGTCAGTAAAATTTCGGGTTTACCTTACCATAATACAATGGCGTATAATTTTTTTGGTGTGAGTGTAGTGTGACAGTCACACACTATTTGGATGCATTGTTGATGTTTAAAGTATATTGAGATGTATGAGAATGTCCAGAAAGTGAATATAAATCAACAATAATTTTGATGCATTTATTTTAAGTCCAAAATAGGATGTATGCAATTTTGGTTACTAGGCGAATATAATTCAACTACCATTTCTATAAATTTAATGTGTCCTGAATTATTACATGTAGAAATATGTATGTAGTAACTAATCTACTTTTTTAAGTTGTTACTTCAATGATTTGTGGGAATTGTGCGTACTACGTCAGCATAAATGAAGTAAATTGACAAGGTCATGGCCAGTGGTATATTAGCACTGAAATATATACTAGTGTTTATTTGCACTAGTCCAAGCTTAATGTGTCGTGTGAGGGATGGAACAGAGCGGATAAGCAAACCCAGTCGGTTCGATTTACTTTCAATCATGATAAGAAACCAGCTCTTAGTTTTAATCTCAAACAATGGCGGAAAGGTTAGGCAGTTTACTTATTTAATAAGGTTACCATATTAGAAAAGTATACCTTATTTGGCTGAATCATTGCAGGTTCACCATAACCCTTGACTATCAACATAAAAACTGGGAACTTCAAGCTAAAACTCACCTTAATAGTAGTATTCAGTGACATAAACTGATCTACACACTGCAAAATGGGAAAAACATGCAAAAAAACCTTTAAAATTCAATGGAAATCGAATTCACGAAAACATATAACCAGCCGACACAGGAACCCATCATGACCTTGAAACTGACTGTAGCCTGTGAGAGATAAAGATTGACCTTGACAGCAGCGATATTTTGATATAGTGTGCCACAGTGTGTAAGGTGTTATAGTACGTAGTATTCGTGAGTAGTCGAAGTGAGGTGCCTTTATAAAAGTTTTGTAAACGCGGTATTCGTTTAGAATGCAAAAAGACCAAGCCTCTAAACTTGTAGAAAAGTTCATTGAGTTTTCGAATTTTGTTTGATGGTATGATAGCCAATAGGCTGTATCTACTGACACGATCCACATTAACCTACCGCAGACATCGAAAGTGTTTCTGAGAGTTGAATAATATAAGAATAATAATTAACTGCTTCCATATACAAATGGCCTACAAATTGGACTAGCAATGGTATACCGTCAGGTTTTTATATCTGGCCAACTGCGGCTTGCAATAATTTGCATTGCCTCCACATCGTGGGCTGAATAAGACAAATTCATAAATTTACCCTCAAAAAAGAGATTCAAAATTTTTGCGGCTTACACATGTTTTATAGTCAGTCAGTTGATTCATGAATAGTGATATGTCGGGACAGTCTTTTCTTCATACCTAGTTTTACTGCTACTCATATCCCTAAGGTTTGACTGGAAAAAGACACTTGCGTAATCACTAAGGTATTGTAACGTTGTAGTGTTTCGTAGCATAGAATGCAGCTGAATATTGTACACTTCGGTTTTTGCATAGATTTCAAGTTATCTTATCTACGTGACTCGATTCGCCTGATTTGGATATTATTTATTGCGCATCAAAAGGAATTTTAGAGAAAAGGTAGAGTTTCGTTGTTCAAATTTTTCAAATTTTGTTTAATTATGACATCTAATTTTATTACTATTTCAACACAGGAAATCAAAATCATTTAACACATTTCAGAATGGAGACTACAGACTTTGGTATTATCGCGATGGAAGTCTTTTTCCCAAGATACTTTGTTTCTCAACATGATTTGGAAGTGGCGGATGAATGTATTGGGAAGTACACTCAAGGATTAAGTCAGACATCTCTCGGATTTTGTTCGATACAGGAAGATATAAATTCGATATGTCTAACTGTGGTTAGTAACCTTATCAAACGTGTTAATATTGACTTGAGAAAAGTTGGTTTTCTTGAGGTAAGTTGTAGTCAGATTATATGTGTACATGTACGTTTTGTTTTCAGAAGTGTTATTAATCTCTTTTTAGCGGTTAGTCTTAGATGAATAAACCTGACGCGAGAGTCCAGAGTTTCAACACTAAGTAACGCATATTTCAGTATCATTTGGGACATAAGTTTCATGAAGTTTTGAAATGTATTTCACTGATAAACGTGAGCATTTGGCAGATGTATGTCAACGGCATCCTGACACGTAACACAATATAGAGTGATTTTACTTGAACTACTAAATTATGAAATTTAGAGTAAGAAAATACACCTTAATGAGGTCACATTCTACCAACTAGTAATCCTGCTTTTATACAGTAGTTATAGGTCTAAAAAAGTATCACTATTTTTGGGCTATTTAACTTGAGCATAAGGTTCAAGTGTTGTTTGCAGTGATTTTATTTGATTGATTACACGATTTCATCATAAGCTGACATCGATTAGAAAACCATTGGAAACCTGGAAGTATTGCTAACTTACCGCCGGCTACAGACCACCGTAGGGTGAGTCACGATGTAGAATTTTTGGGGTTGACCTTTTCTAACCTCCTCTCTCCAGAGCGGAGAGACAGTATAGGTGGCATGCCGGTCATCTGACGGAAACACCTTACTGCTGTTGCATCCTTGTTCCCCACAGACCTCAGCATAGTGTAGAAAATCCTACACTATGCCGCTAACTGCTTTTAGTCTAATCGCTATCCTAACAATCTTCCTGGCATGGTAAGACCTTCAAGAATAATAGTTCCAGCCAGTGTAGCTTGTTGGGTCATTGCGATATACAAGCCTGACCACCGCACCATGTTAGTAGCTTTCGGTCGGGAGTTCAAAAAAATAGTCGTGCTTACGTCCCAAAATAAAAGTGCATCTTAATATCAGTAAAAAGTTTGAGCATTGTGGATTAGATCAAATAAAGTGGTGTGAACACGGGCAGTAATTTTGCTCACAATATTACCAATAACAAAACTTATCATTGTGTGTAAATTATTAAAATATAATTATACTTTAAAAGTGCATCTGTTTACTATCTTATGATTTTGAGTGGTTCTTAAGCTCTTTTTTATGACGAAATCCGCTTTAAGGTTAATTACTATTTCTTTGTTCGTCAAATCAACAACCAACACACCAGAAGACTGATACAACGTCAACCACATGTATATGGGATACCGTATTTAAAACAGTAGGGAGTAGCATTACATAAAACAGGGTAGAAAGTCGTGTGAACACATTGGTATGATTATAAACGGTAAATTGTACTCGAAACGCCCACTAGTTATCAATAGTGTATCACTGTAAGCTTTGAAGCTCACATATGGAGTAAATGCTAATTTGTTGTTATTAATTTTTCTTCGGGCCTTTGCAAGATTATTACATTCTGACAGTTTTGTCTTAATAATTGTTTCACGAACAGGTTTACTCGTTTTTCATTACTATTTGACCGACAATGATACCTGTTTTAATCGGTTTACAGGTTGGAACAGAAACAGTAATAGATAAATCTAAATCTACAAAGACTTTGCTAATGGAATTATTTGAAACAGCTGGAAATTTTGATGTTGAAGGAGTAGACGTTAAAAACGCATGTTTTGGTGGTACCTCCGCCTTGTTCAGTGCACTCAACTGGCTTGAATCCAGTAGTTGCAATGGTGAGCTGAACAAATAAGATATATAATTAAAGGTTATAGTCATCTTTCAGTTCCAAAATTTATTGTGTTATGATTTCTTTTATAAAGTTGCGTTGCTTTTTGTTAAGATGTAGAATAACTTGTTGATAAATACTGCATTATTACTGGAATGCGTCCGTCATGCTTTATCGGAACCGTCTCATAGCTCGTCACTAATGTCGGTGATTATATTGTCGCGAATTGAGAAAGATTGGAAATCACGTAAGACCGGATTCCTAACCAACATCAGTGTACTTATATTCCTCATTACTTGGTGTTTTGTAGTATTAAATTGATTCTATATGATAAGACTTATTATTAATATAAGAATACAATTTGGGCACTGTAGTAAGGTATAATTCTATCGTAGAATGGTTTGTTTTTTAGACAAAAATACCCAGTGATACAGCATTATTGATTGATGAGTAGTAAGTTGTAGTGACGGCATAATAAGTAAATAATAGTGTACCACTGTGTGCTTTTTATAAAATAAAGTTATTCTACGATGAAAACTCACTATTCCTCTCTCATACCATCAAATTTTAATATTTCTGATGCTGTATTTGCCACATGCACATTTTATTAACTTATTTATCTTAAATAAGTCACTGTTTTATCATAGGCTTCATATTGAAGTAAGCACTTCAGATTTTGTCTAGAAAGACAATGAAAGCTTCGCGGTTTTATTGTCCGGATCAGTGAACACAACCACATCAAAAGATGGTAATCTGTTGACAAGATACTGTAAAGAAAGCTGTTGAGATGAATATTTAAAAAAAGATAATAGTGGGATGGATAGTCAGTTGTCTGTGAAAAATGCAGTAGACAATATTATGGTTATAAGTATACTGTCGGATAATGCATGTTTAATCACAGATGTAAATGGTGTTCTTGAGAAAATTTCCTGTAACCCTGTTGTTGCGACTTCCGATTTTTCGCATATATTTTATGAGTGAGATATTTATTTGCACTACTTCTATCGTCGCTTGCGATTCACTCTTAACGATTACCACACTTACTGTGCTTTGTTGATATTTTTTGAAAATAAACCTAATGAAGGTCGCCTAGCGTTGGTAGTTGCCGCTGATATAGCAGTTTATGGTAATAAAGCAGCACGTCCCACCGGCGGTGCTGGGGCTGTTGCACTTCTACTTGGGCCAAATGCTCCGTTGGTAGTTGATCCTGGTAAGAATTGAATTTTTAAAAAGAACAGTTATGTGTAACCTTATTTCCATTCATTTGTTTAAAGTATACTCACCGTTCAGCTATTGAAAGAAGATCACTGAGGAGCGTCTGGTGTTTGACCACTGTTCTTGAGGTCGTTTTGAGACTTTGTGTGACACAGTTCAACATTTCGAATAAAGACTTTGATAATCAGCTATTCCGACTATTTCTAGCTGTAAACCGCATTGTATTATTAGCTGCATAAACTTGGTTGTGTTATATATGTCATTGAAAATACCGATATCACCAAGTCCTTAGCATTTAGTATCGACACAAACTACGCTGGTTGTTTTGCCGCCAAAATGTCTATTGAGAATAGAAAGTACTTATTTACAATGTGTTGCGCTTAACTATGAGACCACAAAACACTTCCATTTAAGGCATACGATTTAAAAAAGCATTATCATTATCTTCCCAACATCACTGATGTCTTATGAAATTGCAGTGTAAAGTCTAAGTTTTGCTTGTCTATTAAAGCTGTAGGTCTTCGCTAACCAGGGTGACTGAAATGTGTTATGCCAACAAACTGTTGACTATTACTGATGTGTAATATGTGTCTATTATCTATTACTTAGTTCTTCCATTCATCCTTTAATTATGAAATTGTGGAATATATATAATATTCTTCATGCAACACTTGTTGAATCAAGCTGAGAAATGATTGAGTCATTCATAAATTAACGAAGAACTATTTATAGAAGTCCAACAGTTCAAGTTTTCACACTTCAAAAGCATACATAAACGAAACAGAAACGTAGTGATATCACGATAGGCGAACATGGGTAACAGAGAGGATAATTAAATGCAAATTAGTAGAATGTGTAGAGAATGAACGAATCTGCACCACTGAGAACGGTTTCTCGTCATATCACCAAGTTTGAAATCATTGGTTTCTATCTTGTTTATTTATTGGATGGTAAACTACCCAAAATAATAATATTAGTCATCAAAGAATATAAATGGGTGGGAATTGGAACGACGTGGGCAGGATGAAATATATAGATAGTGCTAATCAGGTGTGTTCAAGGGGTTGTTTATTACTTTCCGCTACTTTTCTGGTATAAGAAACGTACACAATGAAATTGCAGCATGGACGTCACTGGTTTTGATTGTGGGACCCATCTGATATATCAAGACATTGAGTCACTCGATCTCTTGGTCGCACAAGGGAATTCTGACTTACAAGGAGATACTCATCATCAAACACAACTTTCCTCTGTTTCTCTGCACGTCGGGGGTTGGCCAACTCTGTAATGAACCCCAGAACTACTAAACAGTGTCCAGGAGAACACTTATAACACATTTCGAAGTCATCCAAGTTAGTCACCTGAAATGAAAACACAAGCTGGAAGACGATCTTGATATTTTTTCCACATGCAGCATAGAGCTTCAAGTATTTACACGACCTCACCTTCAGATGCAAGGGACCCTCAGGACAAAACAACAACGGATTAGTTTCCTAATACCTACCTGATTATAATTAATTCAATTTTCAGGGAATGCATTGATTCAGATAATTATTAGGGTGCTGCCCATTAGCTCAAGCGGTTGACTTGTAGGTAATGAATTTATGCCTGTAAATACCTCCTATTTTTGTCTGGATAACCGTGCAGTATATCATAACTGCTCGTAAACGCATACCTGAATTTCTACGGCGTTCTTCAATTCCCTCAATTCGTATAGTTTAATGTTTAGTCTTTTATACTGTTTTCTCATATACCACCCATTTCAGCTTGTGAAATATTGTTCATTTATCGGATCCAAACTTTTATGCAGCTTATTTAGCGTAATTGTTGCACCTAATTTTATAGTGGCATAATTTAACAATGGTGCTCTTTTTAGTCTATACTCTATTTATTTTACACACTTTCCTACCTTCATGTCATTTGAAATTCAAAGCTCAGTGACATATGCGGTTGTTGACCGAACAACCACTTGGAATTCAATGTCATGTTAAGTTTTGTTTTTAAATTGAGATGTTTAGAAAACTGCCCCTTTACATTTTCCATCTTTTCCTTACGAAAAATTAATTTTTCATATGCATAATTTCAAATTCATAGCTGATTGATATAGGTAGCCACTTAATTGTAGGGTAACGAGTTTAATTTTAAGTCATTTTTTCATCTTTTTGAAATGTTGCCTGTTCAGGCCGAATTAGATTTAACTATTCAGTATTAATTTTCATGTATTAGTGGCTCAATGGTCTACGAGCTCGCCTTGTAACCAGAAGGTCCCGGGTTCAAACCCTATCAGTGGATGCGTACTGATGAAGAGTCCCAAACTAAGACGAAACATCTGTCCAGTACTCTCAGGTTTTTCAATGGTTCGCTAACTGATGTCAGGGCATAATGAAATCCTCCATGCTATTCAGTATTAATTGGTCGGCCCAGTGTAAGTATTACATTTGATGCTTTCGATGTATTCATTATAAAGCTTAGTAAATACACGCAGTGCTATATATTTTCGACAATTTTATTTCTGCTAGGTTTACGCGCTATTTATATGAAACATCGCTATGATTTTTATAAACCGAATTTAAGTTCTGAATATCCTGTTGTGGATGGTCAGTTCAGTATGCAGTGTTATCGAGAGGCTTTAGAGGCGTGCTATAAATTGTATAAACAGAAGGCGGCTTCTAAAGGTGAGGTTAATTCTACTCTTATTGTTTCAGTGTATGCTGTCATTATTATTAATATATTCTTGATATCCTGATTCTTTTTGGATTTTGACACTGCCATTATTTTTATATTTTGCTCAATATTTTCGTATAAGAAGAGTGTTTGGATTTGTTATTGGATAATAAAATTACTTAACCAAAAATCTTACACTCTTATTGTGATCCAGTTTCTTTTCAAAGGCATCCATCAAAGTAGCCACTGGGAGGGAGTTTTTGAATGTTTTGAGTAAACGCCTACTCTTTTTACATCTGTTGTCTGCTAGATGACTACTTCAAAACCGTAACCAACGGGTGTGGAGTAAGGTAGTAGAGTTCACTGGCTACTTTGCGTGCTTCACTTCTCTTCAGCTGATTAGTGATAAGCTTTTGCACTGATATAAAAATGTATTTTTATATTTACAAATATTCAGTGTTTGTCAGTGCACTAAGCAGCAGTTCAGTCGCATCTGATCCTATGTTTATGCAGATTGGCCATTGAAAATGAAGAGCCATTAACTTTTAAACAGGGTTTTTGTGAGCATTGGTTGAGTGTGAGTCGTTACACGGGTTGAAACATAATTTGTGTGGTATCATTTAGTAAGATTATGAGCTGATATGGATTGAAGCGGCTAGATTATGCATTGGGCAGAGTTTGGAAAGTCAATCGGTCATTTTTGCATGACGTCTTGAATTGTTGTGTCACCTACTATTGTTACACTGAGTACAGGATTCATACTACATAAATAGTAGTTACATCAAATAGGTTTTAATGTGATCCATAAAATATTCAAAAATATTGTTAGACGCATTCCTTTTGTCTATCTTATTTGTAGTGTTTTCTGAACTTTTTATGTTACACAGTTCATATTTTTATATCACTTTGATGTATATCATTATTTTGATGTTAGTTGATTAATTAGTAGTTGTCTGCTGCCCTGTTCTTGCTTAATTAGTAATAATTAAATGAACAATACAAAAATTCTTATAATACGATCAATATTTTAGGCCTTAATGGAACTGTAACTTCACCTTGGTGCGAAAATCTGCCGAAAGTGAATAATTCCGTTGACTATATGTGCCTTCATTCTCCATTTACTCGTCTCGTCCAAAAGGCAGTAGGCTGGTTGGCACTGGTTGATGTGCGTATGGTTTGTAGTGAAGCTGGTAAGATAACTTCAAACGGTTCTGACAATCATCAGACATCACTGAAATCCAATCATCTCAATTCAGTTGATCCGGATATCTGCACAGCTTTGAAAGATTATTCTGCAACTGATGAAAAACAGTAAGTTCTATGTATTGTTGTAGTAATATTATTTCACTGGGTCATAAGTGACTTAGGCGGTCTCCTTCTGTGTTTGTACGTGATTCTTCCCCTCAGAAGTTGCAGCTGCAGAAAAAAGTAGAGTCGTACATAATAGTGTTTTAATCTGAATTGCCAAGCCGAAAAGGAGTTAGTCGAGACAGAATACTTAAAGTTTATGTATGTGGAGCAAGTATATCACAACATCAGCATAAAAAAATCGACCACAAAAATTCACGATCATCTTTAGGAAAAAAATACGTTTTAGGGTTAAAAGTAACAGAATGAAAGTTTACAAATTTGCATAAGGTACATCTGCAAAACCTTCTATCCTTCTGTGTTACTTTTCAGTCTTGAGTAAAGCAAGAATAGTGTCATGACTAGCAGTATTTCGGTTGCAAATCGTGTCTGGTAAAATGGCGTGCCATTGGGTTAAATCAACCTCTCGATGCCAACGAAGAAGTCCTGATGTGTGAATGCTATGAGACTTTCTTTCACCACATGGATTAACTACCTCTTCATCCTTTTTTAGCCAGTATGTAACTAGTAATCGGCAAACTGTATTTAGATAGCTGTAATAACATTAGTGGAACACCTGTAGAGTATTGATATAGGTATGCAAAGGATCATCAGCATGTTCATACCACAAGCTGATAAGCCTCAGAATTGCTTAAATGTTGTTTTGGTTGACTGTAATATGGAGACAGTGACGAGGAAACATTGCATGTCCCACCTTTAAAATCAAGATTTAAGTCCCAATGAAGTCAGAAGTGACTTAAATTGACGCATATCACTCCAGTTTTCTATAAACGATTGTGACTTTCAAGGCTGTATCGCGGTGTTCTGTGTCATTTCGTAAATATTATTCGTCGCACTTTCACCACAGCACTCATGCAATCGCTCAGATATATTGAATTTTTTCTACTTCTAGCTGTTCAACTGTAGTGGTAAGTGGAGACACAAGATTCTTTCAATCTCGTAAAAGTACTCTGCAGTATGATGATACAAAGCACACACTGAACTGAGCACTGAAGGTATTGAGGGCTATTAAACCACCCAGTTCAGGGGATACAACGACAATAAAAACATTCGCCTAATCTACAAATCTCCATTATTTGGAAATACTTAGAATTCGAAGTGTATTGGAAACGAATACACTTACACCACTGCAGGGTCGGCTTTCCACGAACATTTCAACACTAGTTTGTAGAATCTACTGAGACTCAGCTTGCTCAGTCAAACTTCCCTATCTGACTCAAAATTCCCATATCTTATAGTTTAGCATTACGTTCTCGTTTCCCCATATTTTGCAAAGGAACTCTCCTTTTAACCAGTTGTAACTGGTTCGTCTTACACTCTCTCCACAGATACCCTGTTGTGTGTGTGTGTGTGTGTGTGTACTTTTCTAGTAAATTTTTTCAAAGCAAGTTAAGTGCTTTATAATCTTAACAACACTCATGAGAACAAACAGTGCTTCGTTTAATTCATTCACAGTTAGGTGTAGTTGGCGTTTGCTAGTGCATAACTTAACATTCAATAACAGTGCACCAGAATGTTAAATTATTTCGTCCAGTGGCCATAGAACGGGCTTGATCGATTGGGGTTGATGAAGACTATGGAACTTCGAGCTATGCTGCTTACAAATCGACTAGGATTTTTGTGCAAATGTATATCAGTTCATGGTTCTGCACTTCGAAATCCATATATGCTTATATGTGTATAAGATAACACAAATTTAATTAAATGAAATAACCATTGACTAAAGATATGGATTTGTTCAGATTGTCGATAATGCTATTGAATACATTGTTCTAAAAGATATTTTGGTGATTCACCAAAAGTCTCCAGCTATTGATTCTTAGAATCAAATGGACCCATGGCTGTGAAGAAGATTCAGTCAACTCGTGGAGTGGAGCTATTTTCTGGCCTTGTCCTTTTCTAATTTAATCTTACTTCAGATAACATGTCTTGTTTCAGCATTCCACCTAAATCAAATAAGTGAACAAAAACACCTATAGTCAAAGACTTGTAGCTGTCTCACAACCACTTGACAATCGATTATTGTACGCCGTTCTGTCCCAACTAAATCACTTTTCGGTGAGGTTATGAAACATTGCTGTTCAGTGGGGAAGGTTTAGATAAATCCTAGTGAACATAAAACTTGGGTCGTGTGGATTCTTTTGTTGAATTGGTGGTCTTTACATCTCATCGGTTCATGTTGTCTGCTTGAAGTACTATGATAATAATAATAGTTTCAGCAGACTTTTTTCTCTGTTTATCAAGCGATTTCCGTCAAATATTTGCTAAAGATCGTCATTTTTAAAATTACTAGGTGTGATATTCCAGATCGCCAGTTGGATGCAACCTGTATAAAAGCGACTGAATCATTATACAAGCGTAGAGTAGATCCTGGATTAATGTTTGCTAGGAATGTTGGCAATATGTACACTGCTTCATTGTATTCATGTCTGGCTAGTCTTATCCTCAAGTAAGTGATTTAGTAAAGTGTTGTTCTTATTGTTCTTGTTGTTAAACATCCTTCTATTGAATACTTGTTGTCAAGCGGCAAGATTTAGCTTATTTAACCTACTTACCTTACCTGCCTTATCTGTGAATTAAATCTGTTCACATACACCTTAAGGGAAATGAGTGCAAAACTAGCGAAACAGACGTCCTGTTTCTGGTTCACCTCGACTTAATTTGTGAAGTGTGCAGATCGATGAGAATACTTTCAGAGTACTCGGTGAGCCACCTCCTCCTCCTCCTCCAAACTGGGAGCTTAATGGGAAGAAACTACTCAACCTAAAAATGATAATCACTTAGAGGTTTATGAAAACACAGAGGAATTAAGCTGGATGATATAGTTCTTAAAAAAAGTCCCATTGTTGAAATTAAAATAAGACGTTAGTTAGCAATATTGTTTCGAATGAGATCCTCCACAAGCTCTACTGTTATACCCAACTTCTTTAAATATGTATAAAATCTTAGCCAATGATCTGTTGGTTAGTGATAAGTGTTGGTGTTTTAAATTATACCGGTAATAACAACGATAATGATAATATTGCCCACGACAACAGAAATACCAGTAGTTGTTGCAAGTGGTGATAAGAATAATGAAAACAGCTTGATAGTGAAAACGCTTTAATAACTAAACTGCGTCGAAAGGCTAAAAAGTTAGAATTCCTATACTACTGAAGATGAAACGGTACCTGTAATTAGAGTTTAAATTCACGATTTACAGTATACATATTGTGAGCTGAAATTTTAAAGAACACACTAATGCATTTTGTTTGTCTGCTTGTTTTATCAATGTACAAGTGTTCCAAAGGCTGAGTTATTAGGCCGTCGTATCCTAATGTATTCTTATGGTTCCGGAATGGCATCAGCTATGTTCAGCATTCTAGTTCATCCAGATAGAGAACTATCAAGTGTCGTAGACTGTTCCTTATCATCGCTATCTGAAGGTACTGGAGATTCATCTCAGATTAAGTATGCTGTCCACCAACGTCTATTCAAAGAACGTACACAAGTGTCTGTTTTGGATTTTGAACATATGCTGGAAGAACGACGGATTTCACACAACTCAGGTAATAATTGTTCGTATTAGTCAAATCGTATGATAACTGTGGGTTAGTTGGTCTTTAGATCCATTTTGTAATTGGACCTAGTTGTTACTTTTAACATCGTATTGTATCTATGTACGAAGACATACACATGATTTTATTTGTTAGGTTACTTTCATAAGCTTGTCAAATCACGTAAAACATTTTCGCGCAGTTGTATTCTATCTAATTCAGTTATTATCGCTTGTGTATCTTCTGTGAATTTGCATCAGCTACGGAAAGTTGCGGCTAATTTTATCCAGTATCATAAGAATGAGATTCAACTCAAAAGGAGCTGTACAACTATTCACTGCTACGCACCTGCATCTAATGCAGATCGAGAGATAGAGGCTTTTTATAGACAACTGTAGACAATAGTGGACAAGATCCTAGCTAGCCAGATGGTGATATCCAAATGCTCATAGGTGACATGAATGCCAAAGTGTGAGCAAACCACACAGGACGTTGGTTTGTCGTTGGTCACTAGGCTGTCGGTGAAATGAATGAGAATGGAGAACTCTCTGCGGACTTCAGCGCCTCTAATGATTTAGTGATTGGAGGCAGTGTTCACAAGTGCAAAGGTATCCACGTAGTGAAGTGGATTTCACCAGATCGACACACTAAAAATCATATAGACCCAACGGGTTGATCTCTGACGAAATCTCAGCACGAATACAGGGGGCTCGTTTCGCATTTGCCAGTTTACGCCGACTCTGGCGTAAACGAGATGTTCGACTATCGACCAAAGGGCGGGTGTACTGCTCATCAGTCCGCTCCGTCCTCCTTTATGGCTGTGAGACTTGGAAGACATGAAAAGATTAGCTGTCTTTGATCATAGATGCCTGCGTTCTGTCTCCCGTGTGAAGTAGCATAATAAGGTGAGCAATATTGAGGTTAGGCGTCGAGTACTAGGTAAACAGGGGAAATCAATCGACGAAGTTGTGAAGTTACAAAGACTGAGATGGTTAGGACATGTGTTACGTATGCCTAGTCACCGCCTTCCTCGACGAGCAATATTAGCGGATATAAGGTCAGGCTGGAAAAAAGCTAGCGGTGGTCAAACAAAAACTTGGCTGCACCAGTCAATGAAATCTACGACAGTTAGTCTAAGCCACGTAGGAAGGTGGACACTTCCTGACTGGTTGGGGTCCTCGGGACGGTAGAAACCAATGGTTGGAAACAATTGATGACATGGCTCAAAATCGATGTCAATGGCTGCATCCACTTCTTGTGACTTATGATCTCCAATGAAACTGTTTTGTTCTTCGTTATTACTCTTCCTTTGTCTCACACCCTGCTTACTGTCTCTATTATGCTTTTCTTTTACTTTCTTCTCTTGCTTTGTGTGCCACATGGAGTGTGGCGACTTGAACTGGTGCACATAAGTGCAGAGTTCTATGTCGAAAACAGACAGACAGACAGATAGACTTCATCTCAGACTGAAGAAAGCGGAGACAACCTGTTGGACAGATATATGCTGGGATCACTATCTAATGCAGGGGAATTTAGATATCAAGCTAAAATCTTCACGAGAAGCTGGAGATAGCCAACAGAAAGTGCAAGAGCCCACTGAGGACGTTAGTTTGAGTGATGATAAACTCAAGTATATTCTTTATTAGGTGAAACAGACGGTCTTAGTCTTCCGAATCGAACATGTATTCTTTAAGCAGTTATGATTACCATGATTAACAAAGGATGATTATGAATTCGTTGCTCCTCTTCATAGCCACTCTGATCGTTGAAAGAGATAAAGCATTGATGATACAAAACTATTCATAGGTTTCTGAACCAGTATTACGACGAACGCTTTTACTGACACACGAAAGGATATATGCCCACCCGTTATCCATATTATTGCGAATTTAGGTGTACTTTCTATATGAATAAATTATGTAGAGAGGTTTAACATATCTTTGTACAACTGCTCGTCCTGTCCACATGCACTAGTAGTAAACCTGATGTTGCATCTGTGACTACTCTATTTTTGTTGTTGTAATTCATTAGGACTTCCCAGCCTTAATCTTGGTCTCCATTGTTCATTTCAGTAGGAAAATTTCCACGAACTATCCATTTTGGCTGACATATAACCCTAGAAGGCAGCAGAAATGAGATTACACATTTTCGATTGAGGATGTTATTTTCAAACATTGTTAAAGTGTATTGTCACCACTTTGAGTAGTACTGATGTTCGAGGTTGAATTCTGTATGAAAGAGGTTACTTAGTCAAATTAGGCTTTGAAATCTTACCAAGTTATGTGTGTCGCGTATGCCTACTTGACAGATGAATTCTCTTATGAAGCCTAATTATTATTCACAGTTGCATAATTCTATCGATTAAGCTAATCTTATTGGAGACAAGACTTTTAATCTATGCAATAAATAGTAAACAGATAGTTGTGTGAAATTATTTTATGCATCTCTATGATACTCGTGTAATCAACTATATAGCTAGCTGAGTGACCTTGTTTCTGAAGTCACTTAATTTATCAGATTGATTGGCCACTTTATTGACAGTTCGTATTTAGGCTGGTCATGTGTTAGATTGTTTATGTGTAATTTGAATAGTGAAGACTGTTTTTTAAAACTTTCACTCACCACCTCTGTTCGAGAGTTTTGGACGTTTTGTCTGTTTGATTCCTTTCAAAGGGAACAAATGTGTAGATATCTACAATACGTGGATATATTTTGTCGTGCTATTCTACACACTGATGTACAATGAACAAAACGTAAAATAGAAGTTATTTTTTACTCTGTTTTCCAAACTGTTTTTAACTTCTTATATATTCATGTTAGCGATTTCTCGCTGATATTATCTAACTGTATTGATCAGTTTCAGTTTGGTACAAAGGTTCCTTGAATGGGGATGCTTCAGTATTACAGGAATTAAGAACTCCAGGTCGTTGGCAGTAGAATCCAAGATACGCGTGCCGGCCCATTTGGGAGTCGTCATCTGAGTGTAATTAACTCTCTAATGAGTGATAGTATTCCCCTTGAGACTATACAAGTAACCACCAGCAAAGAAGTAACTTTGAGTTTTCTGTATATCGTTATCGTATTAGAATTTCCCATGGTTTTCATTTTTGAAAGAATTTTGATATCTGTCTCACCGTTGAAAATTTGTTTTATTAAATAGCTGATGCATAATTGCACACAGAAAGCGATGAAGCACTAGTGTATATAGTAGTGTTTTTCAAATGTAGTCTTTTTCATTTCCTATGGTTCGACTCAGTCATGTGATTCTTTTTGTGTTGGTGAAAAAGCTGCAGTTTTGAAAATGCGCACTGGCGTTTGTAAGTATAATTTTCATTCAAGACATATACTGCCGGTTTTAATCAACTAGTTATCTATGTCTAGTTCTGAGTCATCTATAGAATTTTGCCTAGTTGCTCCACAGTATCTTTTCTGTTATTCTCCATACTACTATTCACCAAGATAAGTAGTTGAAAGAAATAGTCTGCATATTCCGGGAGATTTTCAAGAGATTGGCGTTTTCTATAAGTTTTTTTTTTCACTAACTCTTGCTGTCTTTGAATATGTCTGGTTTAGTGAGGTATACTTAGGTTTCAACAAATAAGCTTCTTGTTACTTGTTAACTATAAATGGAATTAGGGAGGTGGATTAACAGCGAATCACCACAATGGTCACCAGGAGATATGATTATATCATTCTTGGAGAATGGAAATAAGTTCATTTCATGGTGAAACCTACGCTGGGATATTTTGTCTGGAAGGCCAACGAAAGCTTCTCACAAGTAAATGAAAATATAAGCGAAATTCTCGATGAGATAAAAATTGAAGAGAGAAAAAAAGGATGAAGCATTCTCATTGCGAGTGGAGATGCCAGTAAGTGGTGAAATAAAATGCTGAGTTGACGAATATTCTCTTAGACAAAACTAAAATTGTAGAAAAATAGGTCAGAATTGATTGAGGAAGAGAATCCACAGATTTTGAAACGAATGGTTGATAAACCACAAATGGCTTCAGAATTACACAGTAAACCAAGACCTACGGTTTGTCATTAAAATCGATAAACTTGAACTACTGATTCATCCTATTCTAGATACGTCACCTAATAGGCAGTAAAAGTCTCTGAAACGATGTCTAGGGAAATTGTAAGTGATACTTTCTACTTTATTATTTGCACCGAAACTTATTATCAATGGGAAAACAATGTTTTCTATAGATGCGTGTTCGCTATTCACAAATATCCCATTTGGTAAAACAAGTTACGACACACTTCATATCTATTCGTACGGTGTGGGATACAGGATAGTTAGAGATGAAAGAACTTGTATTTCAGTGAGTGCATATTGTTGTTTAGCTCATTTTTAGTGGTGAGATCCATAGACTGACACGTAGTGTCTCTTTACGGCTCCTACTAGGTCCATTGTTGGCAAGTATGGAAAATAGTGATCTCTAGGATCAACTACCAAGTAAATAAGGTTTTATAATACACATTTTGATGACATTTTCGGTATTGTCTACAAATTAGGATCAAGCTTACAGGATAGTGTCCATCGAAGCCAAAACTTTGTGTACATAAATATTCTGTTCGTTCCTTCTAGTTACCTAATGATAATATAAACACTCTTAACAGGACTTTATTTTATACTTTACTATTTGACTCAGTTTCATCGCATTATACTACTTTCCTCTTAATTGATAATGGTTTATTTCAAGGAGCCTTGTGCGCGTTGATTTTATTAGTTTATTTTTCATCTTGTGGATAACTTTGGAGGATTCAGCTGTCGATATTCAATGACCATTGTCAATAAGGTCTTGAATTATATCACTGGTGTTTTGTCACACTTACAAAAGGTAGTGTTCCTAAACTCTGTGAGACAGAAAGCGTTTTAGAAGACTGTAACTACACATGTAACTACACAGGTGCCGGTCATGGAAGGGAAGTGATTTTGTCTTCCAGGTTGTTAAAATAGTAGTTAACTGAAACAAATACTACTTTGGATTGTTCCTTTTGCAATATCAGCAACTAGGTTACCATTGAATTCGAAGTTCATACGTAGCATCTTTCGTCAACATAATATGGCTTACTCTGGAATATTTTATCTGTGATCTGAAGTGGGTATCCGTTTTCGATGAGAACTTTTCGTAGATGGTTTACCTCTTCTTGCGTATCACCAGAACTGCATACACCCAAATATACGTGGTAACCAGTAGCTGAGTCTGTCTGTTTTCGATATAGAACTCTGCACATATGTGCACCAGTTCAAGTCGCCACACTCCATGTGGCACACAAAGCAAGAGAAGAAAGTAAAAGAAAAGCATAATAGAGACAGTAAGCAGGGTGTGAGACAAAGGAAGAGTAATAACGAAGAACAAAACAGTTTCATTGGAGATCATAAGTCACAAGAAGTGGATGCAGCCATTGACAACGATTTTGAGCCATGTCATCAATAGTTTCCAACCATTGGTTTTTACCGTCCCGAGGACCCCAACCAGTCAGGAAGTGTCCACCTTCCTACGTAGCTTAGACTAACTGTCGTAGATTTCATTGACTGGTGCAGCCAAGTTTTTGTTTGACCACCGCTAGCTTTTTTCCAGCCTGACCTTATATCCGCTAATATTGCTCGTCGAGGGAGACGATGACTAGGCATACGTAACACATGTCCTAACCATCTCAGTCTTTGTAACTTCACAACTTCGTCGATTGATTTCCCCTGTTTACCTAGAACTCGACGCCTAACTTCAATGTTGCCGACCTTATTATGCCACTTCACACGGGAAATAGAGCGCAGGCACCTATGATCAAAGACAGCTAGTCTTTTCATGTCTTTCACTGTCAGTGGCCAGGCCTCACAACCATAAAGGAGGACGGAGCAGACTGATGAGCAGTACACCCGCCCTTTGGTCGATAGTCGAACATCTCGTTTACGCCAGAGTCGGCGTAAACTGGTAAATGCGAAACGAGCCCCCTGTATTCGTGCTGAGATTTCGTCAGAGATCAACCCGTTGGCACTGGCTGATGGTACTTCCCAAATAAGTGAAGTGGTCAACGTGCTCTACCACTTCACTTCCTATTTCTAATCTAGGAGTCGGTGTAGTTCAGTCCCGTGACATCATCTAGCTGAGTAGCTGCGAATATTCGTCAGTTGACCATTTCATTATGAAATCCTATGGATGAAATCGTTTTTTATGTCTTAAGGGCTAGTTTATTTTCCGAATGGAAGTTATTAGTTACGTGTAGTGCCTGATTCAAGTCACATCATCACAAATAATAAAAGTGTCCTTCATATCAAATACAGTGTCAGCAGTGGTCGCTCAGTCTCTATAATTTCCTAAAGAAAAATAATCAAAATGAAGGCGCATACCTCCTCACCTTTGTAACGCTGGAGGTTCAAGTAGGCAAAGCTTGATGCTTGGAGACTTGTCTGACCACTTTTCATCACGTGGTCTCAAGTTTTCAATGGATTTTTTATTTGCTATCAAAAGGTTTCACATACTTTTTCGTCCTGTGAGTTATTTGACGTGATCACTAGTCACTTGTTATTTATATATTATGTTAATGAGCAGCCTCTCAGATTGCAGATGTTTTGGCGTTGTATGTGCTTAACATATATATGTTGTATGATGTTTAAAGGTTGCTTATCTCCGTTTCCAGTTTCTTTCGAACCATTATTTCGACCTGACGGATTGTTTCCTGATTCATATTATTTGAAGAGAGTAGATGACCGATATCGTCGATTTTATGATAAATTTCCAGGAGTATAGCCGGTAAGTTGATAGTGTAATGCCTGTATAGTCCCTGTGTTTTTAGGCGTACACAATTATAACCATATGTTTTTTTTTGTTTAAAACATCAAACTGCCAGTGAGAACAATGAAGTGAAGAGGATCAGGAGTGCCGAAAAGACGCGGACCATCGGTCTTAACTAGGCTTTTGGAATACTTGGCTTTTGAATGAGAATTGTTGCCACAATAAGAGTAATGTTGTTGTATCTATTACATCACTGTATTCATATGATCTCTGTCATTCATTAAAAGAGGCCGATTCTGATAACTCCGCCTAGCTTGATGTTGACAATTTCACTAGAAATTATAAAAGCTAAATATGCTCTACTATTTTAAAGAAATGTTGCTACATACAGTGGAGATCTTCAAAGTTCTCATTTTGTTCTAGTGGAGGCCTTGTTGTTTGACTGTAGAGCTGTGTGGTTCATTAGCTTCACCAGATAAGTTATGAGTTCAACTCTCACTCCATCTACTTCATCCTGGGAAATAGGTGTGTCTCACAGCCTAGTATTGTTTCAATGTTGGAGAAAAATGTCTTCTGAATTTCCCAATTGTGTTATTATCTTTAATATCAAAATATAGATTTTTGCAGAATGTGAGACATTTAACTAGAACCAACCATGACATTCTTATTTGAATGTTTTCAAATGAGGTGCTGAAGGCTTGATCCTGAAGTTTTAGTCAACCAGGGAGTATAGTTAGTTGTCACACAAAAGCTGAGTGCATAAAGCCGCACATAGTTTTGTAGTGGGTATATGTTAGTTATAATTCACCGTCGTTTTCACCAGACGTTTGCTGTGGTTATTCAGTAAATAGTACTGAATGAAATAGGCGAAACCAAATACTTACCTTTTGTCTGTTGGACTTGTCTCATTCCCTGCAATTCAAACGTTCTTTCATACATACACTGTAAAATCGTAGAACATTAGTGAAGAACAACTACGGTAATTTCATTTGTAATTTGATTCGATGTTAATTCATAAAGTGAGACGAAATATTTCCCTGAGTACTTTTAATTTCCATCTAGGCAGTGCAGCATAATGTTTGAAGGTACGAGCCTGTTTAATTTCACAGTTCACACTAAGAAGAATTCACCAGTAATGGTAAATTATTCTATAAACATGAAGGTGACCGTGTTTTACATTGGCACATCGATGTACAAGTCAATGAGAGGAGAGATAATGAAATCCACAAAGTGAAAATGAAGAAAGTGAATCAGTTATACGTGAATGTATTTGCACCATCTGCAGTCTTAAATTCTATCATCACATTTATTATGTTCAATGTCTTGTTCCACTTATCTCAGTCTGAATGCAAACTGGTAAATGTGGAACAGTTTATTTCTTCTGTCTGTACAATAGAATGTATCAGGGATTTCATCATGAGCTGACATTGGATAGAGAACCATTGGGAAACCAGGGAGTACTGAACAGCCGTTTCATCCTAGTTTTAGGACTCTTCATCAGTACGCACCGGGGTCCGAACCCAGGACCTTCTGGGACCCGATCAAATGGCTCATGAATTCCAACTTCTGTCAATTCATGATATAGCGCAACCGCTAGCCAACGTCTTCTGTGGCGAGTATTTGTCCTCACACCCGACCTGCTGCACCCTACTGGTCACGACTTCCCTGCCGAAGAGTCCCAAACTAGGACGAAACAGCTGTCCAGTACTCCCGAGTTTTTCAATGCTTCTCTATCCAATCTCAGCTCATGATGAAATCCTGTAACCAATCAACCAAATCCCTACAAATCAATACTTGAAGAGTGTATCAAAGCCTAATTTTAATCTCAGTTTACTTGAAATTGTATAATGATGATATTTTTTTGTTTTGTGTTTCAGTCTTGGAATTTCTATTCGACTAACTACCCGCCTACCTACCTACCTACCTATGGTGACCGAATAAGCATAGCATGTGAAGCAGTAATTAAAACTATTATATTCCTGTGAAATTTTCTTCGCATAGATTTAATTAGCGCACATTTACTCAGATACTTCATTCGAGTAAACAATCTTTTTCTGCAGTAGTATTTTTTTTGTGTGTGTAGTTGACGAGAGGAAAGAACAAGACGAAAAAGAAATTTGTTCCGTTCCACATTCATGCACCTTTTGTTATGCTTTTGGTTTTGCTACAAGCCTTAATTTGAATATTTTTCAATGAACTTTCACACTCATCTTATATTCATTCCTTCAGTGATTTTGTTTTGTATGATCAGGTTGATTCAATTGTTTTGCTTTCGTAAGCTGTCTCTCTTGTCTTCTAGTCCGAATGTTATGAACACAAAGCTTTATGCACAAACTGTTGTCTATTTGTTATTGACACAACTTGTTGTTGTTCTTTTCTGATCACGAGAAGTTTCTTTTCTCTTCTATTTTTTTTTTAAATTTTCAAGTATTGGTTTTTTTTAAATGTTATGAATAATACGGTTGTGCCTTGATTATTGAAAATATACGGTGAAATAGTATGCAAGCAGATTATTATTATTATTGTTTTTTGTGGATTGCGTCCTCGTTCATCAGTGTTATGACAACTTTATTTTGATTTGATGAAGTCGAATTGGTTTCAGGGCTACAGACATCCATCAGGTAATGCCGAACCGAAAAGTATATAGATGGTGGTACGTACGAAGTTCCCTGTCGACGAACCGACAACGGTGATCATTTTCTGCAGTTCTGTTCAGATAATCATCTGTTCATGTTCAGCACTAACTTCAGGCACAAAAATAGACATTGCCTAACCTGGTGACCTTCGTCACCGAATCAACGTTCGACTCAGATAGACCACGTAGCTATAGGGTATCGTTGACGAGGGTCAGCAGACGACTGCCGCTCCTTCTAGGACACGTGCGTAGACTTCGATCTCTCCCTGGCTGTTGCACGAATATGCTTGAGATTAGACGGATATGAAAAGCTGTTGTTAGCGAAACAGTTACCTTCCCAACTAGATCAAGACGTTGAGTCACTATTTAAGGAAGAGATAGAGTAACGACTATGTTAAGTGGACGGCAAGACTCCTTCCGAGGAAGTCTGCCACAATATACAGTTATCTGTAGATACAGCTGTAAAGGTTGTTAATAACCTAAAACCAAGACTTAGTAGAAGCCAGCGGGCAATGTTAGTTGACGTGGGACCGGGACCAGATATCCAATAAAGTTCTATTGTTCTTGCATATTTACTATTCTTTCTGACTCACATTTCTGTTTATTATCTCTGTTTACTCTCTTCCCTTGCTTTTTGTACTACATGGAGTGTGGCAACTCGAATTGTTGCACATCTGAGCAGGGTTCTACGTCGAAACTAATCAGTCATTACGTTTGTAGCCGGTTAAAATGATCATGGATTGTTCACAAGAAAAATTAGTGTCATTTATGTTCATGGCTAATGGAAATTAATCTAGCAGAAGTCTGCAGAATACAAGAATAAACAAACGGTAACAGTGGAGACTGACGGAATGACATCAGATCGTCTTAACCCCATTACGTAGAACGTCAAATGAAGTATCTTTCTGGAAACTGACATGATGTGGGAGGACCAGGAAAGACTAGAGGAAATACATACTCCAACGTACTTAACATTCAGTTTAGTTTCAAATTCTGTGCCATCTACGATAGTGGTACCTTGCGAACTGACCAGTTCACGTAAGTTGCACTTGCATCTGAAAGTGAAATTAACCACTTGATATTTGGAGGCATTAGGTTTAATACCATTTGACGATGACAACTGACAAATATTTGATGAAAAGTTATTAATTTTGGAATAGTTTGACTGAGAAGCAACCTCCGACCTAGAAACACTCAGATCATCGGCATACTTAACAAAATTGGCTTCGTCGGAATAGCGCAAGTCATGCACAAAGACAGAAGACAGAAAATGAAGAACAGCTCCTTGAGGAACAGCAACTAGAGTAAGTGAAGTAGTGGAGGACTTCCCATTATAGGCAGTGTACTGCCTCCTATCAGAAAAATAGGAATGCAAGCACTTAGTAGTCCAGCATTGTGCTTGTGTCGCAGCACAACTGTTTAACAAAAGAGGCCTAGGTGCAGAGTCGAAGGCAGATGTGTAATCTGGGATGGCAGACCGAACATATTCGACATCTGTGTCTATACTATGGTATAGTCTGAAGACGATGACACATACGTATATGCAGTTTTCAGACTGTGAACTAGCCATTATAAGCTGAAATAAATACAATTTAGAGTTTCAAGTAATAGCAAGTAGGGTGTAACTTTTATGAGTACACACTGTGGTTAGTTATTTCTTAAAAATACGATTTACGTCGATATTCTACTCAGCCCTACAAAAGACAATGTGATTATGCATGGATGTTTTGGGAAAGAACTTCTGAAGCAAACAAATGAGCTAATAAGAAAATGATTTTCTGTCATATTGAGAGGTGTGAATTATGTCGCGTAGGAATAGAGTTGGCACTGAGAATTATATTTAGGCCTCCTCTTTAGAACTTGTGAGCCTGAGAAAAGAAGTTTAGTTAAGTTCAATATTTTTATCTTCTTCTTAGATCTTGAATCGATGTACTTGTTAATCTTCAAAAATCTTACAGCGATTCCAAAGTTACTTATTTACTACTTCACGAGAGATTTCCTCCACATAAACATCTTAAATACTACTATTATTATTGTATCCTTTAATTCCTAGAGGAACATAGGGCTTCAGCTGCGCGTCTCCATTGCCTTCGGTTTTCTGCCAACTTTTTCACCCCGCTCCAAGTATGCCCACATGCTTTCATCTCCTCTTCACATGACCTCCTCCAAGTCACCCTCACACTGACGACCAACTCACCGCCCGCTTCCCTTTCGGGTTCCACTCGAGCGATGGCTTGTCTAGTGATGTCACTTGATGGTTTCCTCAGAGTATGACCAGCCAATCCATCTCCATTCCTTCATGCCTATTTGTTTCACAATCGGTTCCTGCTGGGTTGGTTCGCGCATAGCCAGAGATCTCTGTTACTGATCTTTTCTGGCCGGCCATTTGATCTTGAGTGGTATTGAGCGAAGACAACTGTTAATGAAGGTCTGCAGTTTGTTTGAGATGCTCTTTATGACGCGCTGGCCAAGTCTCTCATCCGCATAGTAAGTAGCACTGACTTACTTCACATTGGAGTTGAAAATCTGGATCTTATTTTTGATGCTGAGTGGGGCTGTTGACCTCCACACAAACTTGTTGAGAGTAATGAAAGCTTGTCTTGCTTTTCCGATTTTGGCTTTGATATCCTCGTCAGTTCCGTCGGCCTGTAGTTGAAACGATGCTTCCCAGATCGGTAGGTGGGTAGGTAAAGGAGGTTGTTTCTTTCAGGTTCCTCCCATTTATGCTGGCTGATTGTTGTCTGTTGTTGTTGCTGTGGCTGTTGGTGTTGGCCAGGAATCTTCATCACCTATGTTTTCTCTATGTTCACTTGAAGTCCCATGTTTTCTGGATGCTTCTTCTGCCAGCTTGTTGCTTTTGACTTGCATATCTTCCAATTTGTGGGAAATCAGACATATATCATCGGTGAAGTTCAGATCCTCCAAGTTTTTTGTGTGAGTGACACTTAATGATTCCTTGATATGTATACATATATGCTAATTGTCTAAAATACTGGTTATTTAAAAGATGATTATGGAAACTGCTAAAGTGTCTAAGATGGGTCACTCACTGAACAGAGTTGCGTTCGGAATGTTTCTATTATGTCACAAATATTGTGTGTCAAGATACGCAAATCAGCTCTAAAAGTCAGATATCTAGGCATGGGTTTTGAAAACAAAGTAACACCATTCACTAGGTGATATATCTTTCAGGTCTATATCATCCTCATGCAATTTAAAATATCATCTGGCTTCATCATACATGCGTATATGTATATATATACGCATATACATATATGTACATTGCATGAAAGATGTAAGCAAAATATTGACGATAATGTGCTGAGGATTTGAGTGCTTCATCCGTTAAACTTCTTGTAGTTAAGACGAAGAAAGGTGTCTATGCTTTTAGTTAAGTAAAAGCTGTTTAACAGAAAGCTGCATTTTGATGAAATGAATAAATTTTAGATTATGGCGCTCGGATTAATTTCGACTGTTAGCTTTCGTCACGGAGCGACATAAGTTACAGAGATCACTGAAAACCATGGAGCACTGCACAACTGTTTCGTCCTGGTTTGGGATTCTTAATCAGTGCACATTCACAACCCCACGACAGGTCGAACGCAGGTTACAAGACCGAACTGGTTGACCTTTCAGTCACTTGAGTCGGCATACCCGGGTCATTGAATTCCGATTTTGGTTGGGGACAAAACTTAACAATTGAAAAGGAATATAGTAGATGCCGGAAAATTTTCTCTTGTTTTAAATATTTCATTGATATTTTGAAAAATGTAGAATGTTAGTTTAAAAAGGTGATTGTAGTAACAGCTATAACTGAGCAAAGAACGGATTTTCGAGGCACTCACTTCAGCCTATAATTATCAGTCGGTTAAATCCAAACAATTATCAACTTGAAACCCCTTTGAAATTATTTCTCCGTTCAAATAACTGCGTAATTTCGTCATGTTTAGACCAGTTGGCTAAAAATTCCTATTTTTATTCTAGAGAAATTAGTTACTATGCATACTGATGAAACAGTTGTATGTACTTTCGAATTTTGTTATATTATCACTGTGCTCCTTTATTCGGGTCTCACAAGCTGTAATAATTTGGAATTGATATATATATATATATATATATATATATATATATATATATATATATATATATATATATATATATATATATATATATATATATATAGTAAGTTACATTCGAAAAGAGGTAAGCAGTAACAATACTAGTGTTTCCTCTATTGATCTGAGATTAAGTGATTAATTTTTGTTTATAAGTTGTCATGCGTATTTATTGTTTATAGTGAGGGTTTTCGAAGATTTCTATAAGAATAAAAGACGTAGAGATTATTCATAGTGATCTCCTAAAATTGGGTTACGTTCACTCCATGAATTTAATACTGATATTAATGGAGAGTTACTGGAAAGCTAGGAGGAAAATATTAATTATTTGAAAGGTTTAAGGAATTTATTTACTAGAAAAATATATCCATTACTTACCACCTATCTAAACTAAGGATTGGAACACTTGGGGATAGGAATAATACGAAAAAAACTATACATTATAAGTTGATATATAATACACGTTTCACTTTTTTTTGTGTTCTCTAGCGGTGGATGGTATAATTGCGAAGCTTCCATTGTCTTTCTAGGTAATATCTTCAGATTTGACTTCAGTATAAAGTTGTCTAGTAAAGACAATGAAAGCTTCACAATGGAACCACCTAACTCAGACAAGAAATCTCTATTGTTAAATTTACTTAATGTCAGGCGAATGCTAATCTCAGTCCAGTGTGATATGCAGCTAATTAGTCCATGAAGTTGACATTCAATGTTTCTCTGGATCACTGTAATTCGAGTCACTGGGGTATTGAT